TACAGTCAACAGCGGATACGACAAGGCCGCTGCTCCAACAACTACCTAAATTTTACTGCTTCCACGGCAGCATTGAACCGTTGAAGTATCGCCATCAACTGGTTCATCGGTTTTTTTTTCTTTCTGACGATACCAGAAGCTCATCCATCTGCTTCACTTTGGTTTATCCACCAGTTCTGTTTGACATCTTCAAAAAGCACCTACAGTTTCATTAATCTGCAGTCTATTAAAGTGGGACTTTTTTTTGTTTTTTTTTTGTCTCTTTTTATGTTGCATTGGTGTTTAGTTTTGCCGAACGGTTTCGCAAGTGTTCGGTAACGATATCTACATTTTTATCCCTGTAGCTTTCAATTGTTTATTCTGTCGGTTGTAAAATCTATTTTTGGTTAAAAAAAATTTTTTTTTAAAAATGACTTGGTCTGATTTCAGTTGTACTAAAACGTTCACTGGATGAGGATTCTAAAATTAAATCAAACATTAATGGTTCCAAAAAAAAAAAAAGAAAATTTATTACCTTTTTTAAAGACTTTTGTTGTATTTTGCTTGTACCTAATCCTGTTTTAAATCGACTTGTGGCTGTGGTCATCGACAGTGATTGCTGCAGTATTAAAACTGTACACCAAAACATATTTTTAAGATTTTAAAGTTTATTTTGCTTTGGTAAACATTAATTTGTTTAGCTACATTAGTTTCAAGAAATAAAATTGTGAATGTTTAGCTGTTATTTTTGCTGAGGCGTTAAGTTATCTGTAATAATTTTGAACAGAGCTTTTGTCATTTTTGATGTATTTGAAACAGTCAGATCAAAAAAAAAAATTGCCTGAGTTTTTTTTCTACGGGCTATCTTGATGAGTAACCAAAGTTCATCAGAGAAGCAGACGGCCATGTTGTGTAGATATATCGAGGGCTAGTGAATTTTGCTGATCTTATTTATCAAGCTTTTCCGTTTCTTCGAAACATCCCTCAGCTGTTATATGAGAAAAAAAAGTGTTAACAGATGAAAGTGATTGCGTTGGCGTTTATAAGCTCAGACTGCAATTGAGCAGAATCTTTTTCATCTACTAAGCCTTTGTCCCACCTACAGATTTCTTTCCACATCGATATATACCGCTGAGCAAAAATTATTTTACCGCTTCAACTTTTGGTGTTCCGAACGTCGCCTGTCTGCGATAGGTTCAATGTCAGTCTCACACCTCAAACTACTAATTGCTAACAGTTTTATTGAACATTGCATAACCTACCTTTCACGACCGGTCTTCATTTTGAGATTTCAAAATTTTTGTTTTGTTTCGTTTCTCTTTTTTTTTTTTTTGTTTTTTTTCAATTACTTTGACTTTCTATTCCATTCAATCTAACTAGCTAGCCGATCTTTAGGTTTCAGCTAACGATTATTATTTCTTGGCTGCTAAACTACGGTTGTTAACTTTTTTCGATTTTCAACTTAAAATTTAGTGACTAAAATTTTTTTTCACAGATGTTTCTAAGATTATTTTTGTATAAAACTGGTCGCTTAATCTTTTTTCCAGATTTTTATAGATTTGAGGACAAAAAAAGATTCTTACTTTTGGATTAAAGGTGATGTGAAATTTTTTAGACAGAAAGAAAATCGATATCGTTTGGATAAATATTTGTATTCTACTTTTTTCTTCTTTTCTTTTTTTTCACAAGTTAAGAGATT